TTGTTTGTTATGCCGAAATATTACACGTGCTCAACAAAGTTACTATGGCGCGCTTGGGTGGAAAAGGCAGGGAGCTCACGTGAGATCTGGAGTCTACTGTGCTCAGTTTCAGTCCCAGCTCTGAGAACTCCCAGAAGCTGACCCTGATTGAACAAGCCTCACGAAACCCCACCTTCTGGATTCCTGTAACAATTAGAAACATCACCCACAAAGCACCTAGCACAGTGCCTGGCACCTAACAGATATCTGGTGAAGAAAGAAATTATATAAGTAGCAGTAATGGACAGCCAAAATAGCTTCCCATATATGTGCTGAACTAGAAGCTGTTTATCCCAATTAAAATATTTTTTAACTTCAGATAAATAAAACTGTAAGGGCCTATTCAGCCAGAGTAGCCCCAACCCGGTTGAACTGCCATTTTGCTGTAAAGCTTAAATTGACCTTGCCCCCCCCCCCCCCAGAGGAACTTATTTAAACAAGTCCCGGAAACCAGCTTCAGGTAACAAAAGTCTGGACATAAGGATGGGTCAGACCAGGTGGAGACATCAGTAGCATACTGTCTCCCTAGCTACCAAGGAGTAGGGGGCCTCCACCCTTTGGAATCCTTTCGGCGCCAATCCCAATCAAGGTGTAATAGGCTGGTTCAAATGTCTACTAGGGTAAATTGTAACTCAATTGGTCACCTAGCATCACTATGGAGTTACCTGTGTGTGTCACAATCTCACTGGTCACCTGTGAGTGGCCAGGCCCGACCGCATGGTTTTTGCCATTAAAAGCTAGACTGTGAAACAGAAAAGGGTCGCCCTCTCTTGTAAGAGGTGCGACCCCGAACGTTAGGTTAGATTCTTGGTGCTTGGCGGGAAATAAAGCTTTGCTTGACCTTCGCTTTGTGTCAGTCTTGCTCCTTTAATCACGGACCCATTATTGGGGCATAACAAAAACAATGAAATCATTGCTCTAGTTCGCAGCTTACGAAGGACTCTAACAAAAAAAAATCACAGTTTTAAAAAAGTACAACGTGCTCTTTCTAAACCTTCTAAAACTTCTGAGTAGTCAAGAATATGAATTCCTGTTGTGTCAGACAATAAGAATGCATTCTTTGTGAAGGAAAAATGATTAAATTGCATCTTCCAGACTAGTAATTTAAATTGTGATCAAACCCACTGTAGCTGGGGGCCTCCCACTTAATTTACTGTGAACATTTACTGTGAACATTATTAAACATTTATTAAATGCCGATGCATGGTTAAAAAAAAAATTCAAAGGTAAGGTTTTGTTCACTGAGCACCCCCTCGCCCCCCCCCAAAAAAAGAGCAAGAGCATAAAACTACTAAATGGATCAGCTACTCCCAGTATATGCAGTTTTACAAAACACAAGCATGGCAATTACCAAACCACAGAAATAGATTTTTGATCCATTGGGAATGCATTCAGAAAGCGATCACCACTAATGAATAATAGAAGATTTATTTGGATTGTAAAACTTGACTAGAAAAGAAATTTATCTAAAATACGAGGTCAATTTCCTGCCTTTCAAAAGAAGAAGGAAAAGGGCTTTATACGAAAGATCTAATCTGGGAGACATTCTCTAAGGAGCCCAAGTAAGATTCAGGCTGGTGTTTCTGAGCCATGTATAGAAGGAATGCTTGGAGGGCTTAAAGGAAGATCCCCTGGGGCTGCTACCCCACACCTAGCGATATGGAATCTTTGGGGGAAGGGCCCAGGAATCTGCATCTGTTAACAAACTCTCCCAGATTCATGTGCACTCCTAAATTTGAGAACAACTAGACAATGAAAGCCATTAAATAGCCTTTGGCAGCTGACTTAAAGGTTCTTGAAAGACCAAAAAACAAAAACAAATAACAAAAACAAACAAACAAAAACACCCAAACAAGTTTAGTCCATTCTATGCCAAAGGACCAAACTAAGACAACAGAGTCTGGACTTGAGATTCAGTAACAGCCGCGGGGCTAAACAGCCATTCCTTCTGCCAGCAGGTCAAGCCACATTTTTTAGCACTTGGAGGCAAAGAGCTAATGGATGCCTCCACAGTAATGCAAACCCAACAGCACCACGGTAATGCCTTCTCCTGTTGGACACACATTTGCCAAAGCTCTCCTCAACCCCAGCATCTTGCCGGCACAAGTCTTGGCAATCATTCTTCGTCAGTTTCCTGGGCTTGCAAATTAACACATTCAGAAGGTGAGAGGGGAGGAAGTAAGATGGTTCAGGATATTATTACACAGAAATTCTAAATTCATAAATAATATCAACATCCAGTCCTATAATATACCTAGAGAAAAACAGTTTTGCTTTCTAAGAGAAGGTAAAAATGATATGTGAAGGGGGTTAAAAAAAAAAATTGCTACTATAGTTTTAAAATTAAAAATCCTCTGGAGAGCGCCTGGGTGGCTCAGTGGGTTAAGCAGCTGCCTCCGGCTCAGGTCATGATCTCCGAGTCCTGGGATTGAGTCCCGCATCAGGTTCTCTGCTCAGCAGGGAGCCTGCTTCCCTCTCTCTCTCTCTGCCTGCCTCTCTGCCTCCTTGTGATCTCTGCCTTTCAAATAAATAAATAAATAAATAAAATCTTTAAAAAAAAAAAATAAAATAAAATAATAAAAAAAGAATAAAAATCCTCTGGAGAAGTAAAGCAGAATGTGTAGTGAATGCAAAGAAAAGGGCACCCAGTTAAAATGGAGAGACAGGTGGGTTCTAGATACATCTATGTCCTCCAGATATGACCTCACCTAACTAACTTAGCTATGCTTTAACCTAAAAGACTTAATGTTTTTTGAATAAGCATCTTAAGTCACAAAGCAATGTCCAAATGTAAGTAGTGTTATTACAATCCATGGCAAAATTTATTTTATACAGTCCAGAATATACTAGAATAAAGTCAGAGCGATGAGGGGTTTTGTTTGCTTGTTTGTTTTGTTTTAACAGAGACAAAGGACAACAAACTCTTGGCATCAAGAATTGTGAGGTAAGCTATACCATCAGATGAAACTATACACACATTTTCTGAAATCACACCCAAGATGAGAACAATCAACATGGAACAAATAAGGGAAAGCTACGCCACTTTCACCAGCGTACACCTGCTCTTCCCTGCACCAAGCTACACCAGCATGAAACTTCCAAACAAAACCAAGTCAATGTGGCTGAAGCAGTCCTCCACGTAGCAGTGGCTAATGATTCCACCTGACACCTTCCTGTTTGGCCTACCTTACCCACCTCCATCTGAGTCCCAAGGAGAAGCTTCTTCCACTGGAGAGCCACAGACAATGAGACAAGGAGGAAAAAGGAAGGGTGACTAATGGCCAGTGCCATCAGTCAATGAACCCAGGGCTATAAGGACTTTGAAAACGGTTTAACACGTACTGCCTGATAGATTTTGAATCAACACCAAATTCAAGTATATCTGGAAACATGAGGAAGCCCATATGTGTCTTTAGGCACCAGACGGCACACTATACAGCAGTTAACTTAGAGCTGAGCTTGAAATGAGGCTCCAAGTTATCAGTCTTCTCTGCATATCAGTTCACGACTTGATGATTATTTTTTCTACCTCATGGGGCAGTTGGGATCATTAAAGAAGACCCTATTATAAAATCCTTCACATAGTGTTGTGCCCACCTTAAGGACTCCATGAGGTCATTAGTGGTAGCAAAGTAATAGCACAGAGTAGACACTCAGTAAACATACTCCCCTCCTCATTCTGTATTTCAATGATGAAAATATATTCCAGTTGAATGAAAAATGATACACAATAAAATACAGTGTGTAGATAAATCAGAATTTAATTTCCTTGACATTTGTCTTTTCCTTCATTATGGCTATGGAGACCAATTTTACCATTTACACTGGCCATAATTAGAGCCCGTGTATATAAAAATTACAGTTTAAATTTGTGATGATAACTTCTATCCAGTAGTTAATACAATTTCTCAAGTCCTTTTTCCACCACTATAATAACACCCCCCACGACCTGTTTTAATTATCATCATTATTACTAGGAACAAAGCACTCTGTGAGTGTTGCAGAAAATGAGTTAATATATATAAGTGTACCTTGAAAACTGTGAACAGCTAATATTACCATTTATTTGAGAACAGAGAAGACAGAGGCCTGTCTTGAGATAACTAATCAAGATGCTAATCAAGGAACACACACACACGCACATGTCCGGGCACATGTCCATTTAAAGAAAAGTAACAACAATAACAAGAAAAGAAAAATGTGTGTGTGTGTGTGTGTGTGTGTGTATCTGTATCTATAATGAAAAGTAAATAAAAAGGTGGGAGACAATGAAAATATTGGGGCAATTTTTCCCCATATTTTTAAAATGTTTCTATAAAACAATCAATTCTTACAAATAAAGTCTGAAAATCCATTTCTTCTGAGTACAATCGACAACATGCTCCCTCCAGCCTCTCATGAAAACATTTGTAGAAACACACTGCCATATGTTAATTAAGTATTTCCAGTGCAAATCCCTGTCATTCAAAGGCCAGATGTGCCCTGTGAAACATCAAAGGCCAGGCAATGCTGCAAAACCACTTCAGCAAAGCTGTACTAGCAAGGGAAAGATCCTTGTGTAGAAGACCCATTCCAAAATCCACTTCACACTTATGATTTAAAGCCAATTCAAATGTAATTTACTTTATCAGGGCCCTTAATTTCGTGAAGGTCAGAAGTGCAATCAACAGAGGTGAAAACTGCCTATGCTTATCAAAAGATAACCTGGTAATAGTGCTGAACAAGAAAAACAAAAAACAGGAAACAGGACTCCCATTGAAAACCACGGTTAGAACCACTGTATAAAACATGCCCTCTCACAAACCAATGCATTCTGACAGAAAGCTTTCACTTGAGTCATCTCTGTACCAAATGCAAACTCACTTGTCATTCTTTTTCAGTGGGAGAATATTCCTTTTCTTCTCCAATGTTACAGCTCGTGAGACGGGAAACGACAGTTGGGCACAAACTAGTAAACTTACCACTCTCGTCATCTATATTGAACCTTCCGAGACCACTGCCATCCCTGATGGAGTACTGGATCTCTCCATCCCTCCCAGAGTCGTCATCTTGGGCAGCCACCTGCAGCACACTTGTTCCAATGCGTGAGTTTTCTTTTACAGATCCAACGACAGCAAAGTCTGGGAAGTAGGGAGTGTGGAGGTTTTCATTGACATCCACCACCTCCACCTCAACAAAGGAAACAGAAGACAGAGAGACCGGTCGCCCTTTGTCTTTGGCCCGAACGGTGAGGTTATAGAATTGTTGCTTTTCATAGTCCAGCTCTTTGCTCAAGCGAATGGCACCACTTGCTTTATCTATTTCAAATCTCCCATTATAGTCATTGACCAAAGAATAGCGCACTTGACCCCCTAGCCCAAGATCCGGATCATGGGTCTCCAGCCAAGCAATGACAGTGCCAACAGGGAGATCTTCCAGAACCTTCACACTATAGCTACTGGGAATGAAAGCCGGGGAACAGTCATTGACATCATCCAAAAAAACCTTAAGGGTGACAACGGAAAACAGCTGCTGGCCACTTTCTGCCCTGTCTCGAGCTTCTATTTTTAAAGAGTAGTTTGCTTTAGATTCCCGGTCCAACTGGTCGGCTACATAGACAATTCCAGTTGAGCTGTTGATAGCAAACTGCTGTGTATCTGTCAACACTGAGTAAGTTACTTCCCCATTAGAACCCAAGTCTTTGTCTCTGGCTTCCACTTGAATTATCTCAGTTCCAATACTTGAACTTTCAAGAATGTTAACTGAGTAACTGTCTTGGAGAAAAATTGGGCTGTTGTCATTTGCATCCTCCACATTGATGGTCAGCAACCTCCATGAAGATTTTTGTGGATTGCCTAAGTCATAGATGGTGATATTAAGGAGATAGAGGTCTGTGTGCTCTCGGTCCATTGGCAGAAGGACTTTAAGTTGCCCAGTCTCCATGTCGATATTAAAGCAACTGTCCGTGTTCCCGTCAGATATTGTAAATAGCACCTTTCCATTGAAGCCAGAGTCAGCGTCATAGGCTTTAATCTTCAGGATGTCGGCACCAACAGGCAGATTCTCCTTCACAGCCACATCAGAAGGAAATGACTTGTCAAAATGTGGTCCTTGCCTATTAACTGAATAAAAGTCAAGAAATCCGTCTTCCAGGTTGAGTTTCCCATTTGCTTTTGCCTTAATGAGCAGTTTCTCTGCCAGCTTTTGAGCCACGCGAGTTTCTCTGCAACTAAAGCTCTTTGAAGACACCTTCCCATGTAGGACTGAAATGTTAACAGATATGGGGTCCGCAAAATTCTCTCCATCGGTTGCTGTAATCCTAAGGGCAAAATTACCATTTTTGATGCCAGAATTCATCAGCGACTTTTTAAGCTGTAAAACCCCGGAGTCTGGGTTTAAATAAAAGAAACCAAGTTCATTTCCAGAGATGATTTTGTACTTTACAAGTTCAAGTTCATCAATATCAATTGCAGAGACAGCTGTGATGTGACCCCCGACTGGAAAGTCGTAGGAAATAACTCCCTGGCAAGCCACTTTCTCAAAGAGAGGGCTGTTGTCATTGACATTTCCTATTCGAATAGTCACATTTACTTCACTTTCATGGCGGTATGGCGAGCCCCAGTCGGAGGCTCTTACGATGAACCTGTAAGTCTCTGGGGAGGATTCAAAATCCAATTCTTCAGTTGTGCTAATAACACCTGTAAACTGGTTAATGGCAAATGGTAACAAATTCAGACTGGCAATACTATAGGTGATGTACCCATTTTCTCCTTTATCCTTATCAGAAGCTGAAACCATCAGAACACTTGTGCCCACTGGGACGCTTTCATTCACAAAAGCATCGTACAGTGCCTGCTGAAATTCTGGGGTGTGGTCATTCGCATCTTCTATGCCAACGGTGACTTGTGCTTTTAAATCTCCTTCCTTGTTTGTCACTCCCAGCTTATACACCTCCTTCTTAACAGTATTCAGTGGCTGTGCTGTGACAATCAGGCCAGACCGAGGATTAATTTTGAAGTACTGTGCATCCTCACCAGGAGATAATCTGTATTCCACATCGAGCGGTTCGGGACTTAATTTTACTATGGCAACCACGACACCAGGAGGGGAGAATTCACTAATGCTCACATCATACGTTTCTTTTTCAAATCTAACTGGGACAGTGTCTCTTTGGGGATTGGCAATGTGGACAATCTTCGCTGCTGAAAATTTCTGGGGGGACCCCTTATCTTTTGCTTGAAGAGTGAGGTTGTAGCCATAAGGAAAACTCCCCCAGTCGACCTTCTTTCTCTCCTTAATCTTGTATTCATTCATCCACCTGCCTTCCTTAGCCAGGAAGAACTGATCTAAAGGATCCCCAGCCACAATGGAAACAGACTCAATTTCTCCATTGGCCCCTTCATCTAGGTCATCGACTGTCACCACCGCGTATGTCGGCTCTTTGTCCAGCGAGAAAGGAACATGAGTGACCACATGGAGAGTTGGGGCGTGTTCATTTACACGTTCAATGTGAACATAAAGCTTCGCAGTACTGCTCACTCCGTTGTTTCCATAGAGTTTCATCCCCCGGTCCACAGCCAAAATCTCCAGATCGTACCTATTCTTTTCATCATAATTTAACCGCCCACTTAAAGAGATGACACCACTTGTGGGGTGGACTGAAAAGAGATCAACTTTGTTTTTAAAGTAGTAGTAGAATTCTCCATTGGAGCCTATATCAGCGTCTGTGGCAGTCACCTGGGCAACACTAGTCCTTAAAGGGGTGCTTTCTGCTATTGTAACAGAGTATGTTGTGGGTGAAAACAAGGGTCGCAGGTCATTCATATCTAAAACCTGTATGTTCACTTTGGTCCATGCTTCCAGATCCTCTCCTCTGACAGAACCTTTGACTATCAATAAATAATTGTCCTGAATCTCCCGATTCAATATGGCCGAATTGCCACCTTTAGTTCTTATTCTGAGGAAACAGAAGTCTGCAATGATGACTTCCTCTGCTTTGAAGAAGCCTTCCTCATCTCCAGATACAATTCTGTATTTGACATCCCACGACAGATCTATTAAGGTGATGCCCATCCTACCCTGGCTGTGGACGTAGGTCCTTGCGGCTGAGTTCTCACACACGGTAGCATTGTACACAGGGTGAGTGAAGTGGAAGCCCAGGGGCCCGGTCTCTGGCAGCCCCTGGGACACTGTGGCCAGAAGCTTGAGAAGCAGGAGGATGAGGCAAGAAGGGGGAGGCCTTGTACCCACACAGTATCCCATAGTTATATCCATCGCATCATACCTCCATCCTGGAAGGGGGGGAGAAAGAGAGAGAAAAATAAATTAATCTACGGGAAAGTGGGAGAAGATGTAGGAACTCGCTGCGATGAAATGGTGCTTTTTAAAAACTTCATTATAAAATCTTCTTACCAAACGTCAGTGTGAAAAAAAAAATTAGAGACCTCATCATACTAGATGGCAAGGAGTTCAAAATCACTAAGGTTTAACTTTACATAGTTTGAGCTTTTTAAATCACACTTTTATAGTGCTGCTGGAATTCTTCATTGGTACAAGATTCCTTCCATTCTGAAGGTCAGTTTAGAGATATCCCTAGAAGCCTTAAAAAAATGCATCTACCTTTCACTTAGAATTATCTTCTAGGCAATTACCCAGTGGAAGTAACTAGACAAGTGTACATTTAATGTACAGATTAAAAGACAAAAGAACTGAAAAGAAACTAGATGTCTATCAATCAAGAATCAAATAATTTTTGGTGCATTCATAAAATGAAATACTATGCAGCCATTAAAAATAATTATTTTTCAAATGTGGTAAGATATAATGCAGAGTGCAAAAAAGATCATAAAACAGTGTGGGTGGTTATGATTGTATTAGTATTTAAACATTTCAATGCACAACTGCAATTTTACATTTAAAAAGGATTAACTGTGTTGTGGAATCTGGAGGACTATTTGTTTTTCTGATATTTTTCCAAGTAACACTATTCACCAATGGTTATATGATTACATTTATAACTATGAACTTTTAAAGAAATTCTTACCAGGCATCATAGTCATTTTTTGTTGTGCTGACTTTAAAACTGACCAAGATTTATACAGAATACAATATCGTGAGGCTGAGAATTCAGGCCCCCTAGAAACACATACGACATAATTTAATTCTGTTGAAGTAATCACCATTTATCATTAATAAATGATAAATTTATGGCATCTCTGCATGGTTATCTCCTTTCTGGTTTTAAACTAGTTCCAATTATCAGCTATCAGCTGAACAATCATGTTAAGTTTAACATCTTAAAATATTATCAATTGTAGGGTGCCTGGGTGGCTCAGTGGGTTAAACCCTCTGCCTTCAGCTCAGGTCATGATCTCGGGGTCCTGGGATCGAGCCCCACATTGGGCTCTCTGCTTCTTCTTCTTCTCTCTCTCTCTCTCTGCCTGCGTCTCTGCCTACTTGTGATCTCTGTCAAATAAAACAAATAAAATCTTTTTAAAAATATTATCAATTGTTTTTGTACTTTATAAAACACTTTCATAGCTAGGGTTGGCAAGGCACATGTTATTATACCCTTTTTGTAGATGAGACTAGACAATGTCATTCTCCTAGTGGTAGAGTCAGGATTAGAACCCAAGCCCTCAGGCCATCCCCAAGGCTTTCTCATTTCTTTTTTCCAACTCTGCCTTACAGAAGACTCTAAAGCCAATTTCTGGGCATGTGTTTGCCTGGTTCCAACCGAAGATGAAATACGCCTTGTTGGTGTCATCTGTTGAAGAAACTCGGGAAACAGGAGTAGTAAGTTTAAAGACTACAGTTTAATAGAGGGATATCATAAACAGAATAGGTAGTACAAATGAATAGTGGAAAGATGAGATAACTTTTTATAAAAGGAAAGAAGTTAATTTCACATGTAATTGCTTTGGTTGCCCGTCCTTAGGCAGCGGCCCACATGCTAAGTGTGCGAAGCAGTAAGTCGGCTTAGTAGGCTCAAATATCCTCCCCCAAAGAATGGAGGCCCCACGGGACCAGCGCATTTAGAGCTGCCCCTTTGTGGAGCACACTCGGCTAACACATGGGCGTGAGAGGGCCCTCTTTAGGGACCACAGATACAAACCAGCAGAAGCTTTATTAATACCGCATGCAACTCAATAGACTCTTACTTCATCATCTGAGAACGTTCCAAAGTAGAGGAGAGATTTTTAGGTTCCCACTCTGAATGGAATGGGATGAGACAACACTCTTACAGGGAATGACCAGAGGCCATGGATAGTCTCTCAGTGGAGAAAACTGGGGATACTCCCAGCATCTCCAAAGAAATACAAATTCAGATTCTGCCTCATTTAGCATTGGCTCTTCTACGCCAAGGGCACAGCCTACAAGCATGATTTTGCTGATACTTTGCCCACAGAGTCCAGACTCTGTGGTCATCAGAGAAAATCTTTTTTTTTCCTTAAAAGATTTATTTATTTACTTACTTACTTAATTACTTACTTACTTGTCAGAAAGTGAGAGAGAGAGCACAACAGGGAGAGCGGCAGGCAGAGGGAGAAGTAGACTCCCCGCTGAGCAAGGAGCCCTATGCCGGGCTCCATCCCAGTACCCTAAGATCATGACCTGACCCAAAGGCAGACACTTAACCAATTGAGCCACCCAGGTATCTCCTCTCTGGTCATCAAGGAAGAAAACAGCCCTGATGGTAAATTCATCTCAGATGAACCTTTCTTAATCTATCTTGCACCCCATCTTCACCCCTGACTTAAGAGAGGAGCTGTGTCTGTGCCTCAATCTATGACCAGCATCACCCGGCCCACACGAGACACACAGGACATCAAGGTACTGATGGAACCGGGGGCCCAGAGGCCTTTCACGTGCTCTGTTTCCAAACCCCAGAAAGTACACACATCTCACTTCCGGAAACAGACTCAAGAAATTACATGAACTCACAGAAGACTTAAAGATCATCAGGTTTGATTTCCTGGGTTTACAGATAAGGACACCAAGACCCATTAGAATAAAGAGACTCACTAAGGCGGGGTCTCAGGACTGCCAGGTTCAGAGCTGATACTAGGTGGAAACACTGCATCAATTGAATTAGTTTCTCTTTGAGTTATGTAACAATTTGAGGGCTGTGGTTTATCATGGCTTTGCAGGGTTCTTAGTCTTCTGACACTTTGTTAATCTCCCTGGTGCTACTCCCACCTCTAAGTAGTTAACTGTAAGTAAACATTTAAGTGCCCTGGGGGACAGTTACTTCTAAAAACCAGTTACTTCCGGTGAATCGTTCATAATGCAGAACTCTGTCATAATATGGAAAAAAAAATCATTCGATTTAACCCTTCAAAAGTTGGAAACTTTGCATACTGAGTCTTTCAGCAGGGCACACTGCTACGATGTTTTCCTTACAAAACGGAATCTTATATGCAAGTAGAGAAAAACTACAATCCACGCTGAAATGGCACAGTATTGTTGTGTACAAAAATTTGGATTTAACTCCAAAAACCTGAGCAGGACTAAGCTTGTCAGCTTCAGTTGTGGAGACCAAAATATGTCATCAAGTTTTGGTATCTTTATTTTGGGGGGAAAAAAAGTTCTATCTGGCACCAACTATTTTTTAAAAACCTGCAGATTTTTCCATTGACTTAGAAAATAAGTGAGTGCTGAAAATGAGGAATTCTGTAAAATTCTGCAAAGTAAACACTAGAATAAGATTTTGGCTCCTTCTTTTTTTAGCATGCTAAGACAACTGTTAAGCTGTTTTTTTAAAAACAAAACAAAACAAAACAAAACAGTGTGCTTTTCCAAAAAGCCAAGCTATTTGTGAAGCCAATATGATAGTTACGGTGTTTTAGATGCTCTGCACATTGATTTATTCTACTGCTTCTGGATTAAACAAAGCACTTAGTTCCCAACCTCAGAGCCTATTTTCTATGACTTAGCAACATAATCAATATTTTTTGATATAATCTCCAAAGAAATCATCAAGCCATCAATCTTGGAGACATTTATTTTTCAGAGCAGTGGGCTGGGCCTCCCCCATCCTGCCCTGGGAGGCCTGAGAGAGAGTGGATCCTAGCCTTCAACTCAGAAGGCCATGCAGATTTTTCTTTCCAGGGATGAATAAATACGGGTGACCTCAGGGACAGCTCCCAGCTCTTACAAAGGCCACCTCTCTGGGTGAGCCTGGACTCGGCAGGAGGCCTCTGCTTGCTTGGGTAACCTGAGGAAGCTCTTTTCTGCCATCATTAAATGGGCCTCCTTAAATCACTGGGATTTCTGAACGTTAGAAATGGCATCTTGCAAGAACATTCTATTTTCACTCCATCTCTTCTTATCTTGTGTATTTTGAGAGGGTTTTACTGGCAGACAGAATGGGTGCTTGTGAAATGTGCTATGCTAGGCGGTAAAACAAAGAACAAAATCAGTCTCTGAAGGGCCTCCTCTTCCCTGGCTCCCTTGATGAAGACAACTTGTGTCAGAAGCTGCTCAGTGACACACTGGCTGTATGCGCGATGATTTCCGGACATGTGGTCTGGCACTGGACTGCCTGAGTTTGAATCCCAGCTCTGCCATTTCTAGCTGTATTATGTCAGGCAGGTTACTTAACCTCTCTGTGCCTCAGTTTCTTCTGCTCACAAATGGGAATGATAAGGCCTACCCAATTAAGATTTTTGAGTTAATAAAGAGAAAGCATTTAAAACAGTTCATGTCACACAGTAAATATGAAGTTGCTAGCTATTAATATCATTAACTAAGGCAGTTTTTAGAGAAGAAAACAATATCCGTGAGTCACAAGATAGGGATCATGGAGGTTTACAATGTCATCTGACAGTTCCTTTTCCAGTAGCAAAAGGCACATCAAAAGTGAAGGAAAAGTTGTCTTTTCTTTATTGAAACAAATGATTACTACAGTAGACCCAAAGTTCAGAGAAATCGGACTTGAATCCAGGCTTTGTCACTGACTGGCTGGGTGACATTGGGATAATACTTAAACCTTTTTAAGTCTCACCTTAGGGATTATAAGAGCTCCCACTGTCACATAACAGGCTTACAAGTGTGTCTGGTACACAGCAAACGTTCTGTAAATATTAACTGACATTAAAATTATGAAGGCGTTCAGAAGAGATACAAAATGGAAAACAAATGAAAACTGGGCTAAGAATAAAGGGTCAAGAGGTAGACCCTCTGAGGGGTAGCCCCACCCTAACAGGAAAGCCACCCTTTCATGAAACCCAGACTCACTTTCCCCCACATCCGCCCAGGTTGGGTGGGGTCAGTGCCCAAAAAGGGGTGT